GTGGGGTGCGGACTGTAGACATAGTATAACATCACAATATACATATAACACACATAGTATAACATCACAATATACATATAACACACATAGTATAAGAAAATAGACATAGTATAACATCACAATATACATATAATACACAATAGCCATGTATAACATCACAATGTTCATAAATGTAGTAAAATTATTCCCACACAATTTCAGGTCAGACGTTGAGTCTAAAGACCTTTTAGGTACGCCATCCCGAAGGCCGCATACTTCCGGAATGGGCAGACGCCGTGGCGATGGCACAGATCTTGATTGGCTAATGGGAGATGTGAAGAATGATGGTGTGAAAACCGATGAAGGACTACCAACTTCAGCTAAAACAGATGGCGCCACTACTGAAACGGACGCGAAGGTGGAGACGGATTGGTTGGGACGGCCATTAAAGATGGCAGCTACTGCGGGGCCAACGTCTGGCCCCTCAACAGCACCCACAGCAAAGAAGGAACACATTTCCTCGACAAAGGAGCCAGCCACACGTGTGAGTGCTGACGGCGCAAACCGGAGAAAATCAGACGGCGAAAATGCAACGACGCTGCAATCAGTAACGCCTGCTTCCCCACAGAGAGGCGATTCACTGGCTGAGCACAGTAAACCTCACAGCCAGACTCAGCGCCAGGATAGTAACAATTGGCGGGGAACGTCAGCCGATACAGATGTTGCACGGAACGATCATTTGGGTGCGAGGCCCACTTCTCTAGAGCAGCCCAAAGGTGAACCGCTAAGTCGGCATGGTCCGATTGTGGAAACGCCTTCTCTCACTACTGTTCCGACGGCCGCTCAAGCAGATATTCTGCAAACACCCGTGCGAGAACAACACGGAACACAAGTGCTTCCAGTGGACCAAGGACTTGAGCAGCAGACACCGGATCAAGTACTTTGGGATCAGTATGACCAGGGGTCACCAGGCATCCTTCCCGCGGTACTGCCGTCTGCCAGCGTCCAGCAGCCGTCTGGTCGGGGTCGTGCAGCGGTCGCCGTCGGTGGTGGCTCCCACACACAGCCCCATGCCCTCACTGCGGAGCTGCACGGATTTCAGAGCAGAGTAAAACACTTCTCGTTTGTCGTTGCAACTCGTGATTAGATTTTGTGCGCGTAGTCGTGATCCGTGTACACACGTGTGTTACTTGTGACTCGCCGAAGCCTGAATGATACAACGAACCTACATATACCAATGTTATATTGTTTCGCGAGTTCGTGCTGATACGTCGGCGGGTCAAAGACCCTATATACTTTATATAGGGTTTTACTTTGTATAGGGTAGTATATAGGGTCTTTGGCAGGTTTCGTATTGCATTCTGTGGTAGTAACTGTAAGTGTTATGAGGCCATGAGGAGTTGTGCATATCGATCGGTTTTACTAGTGAGAGTCTGCGTTTTGCCCACAGATCAGGCAGTTAGAGTTGGAAAGGAATGAGCTTACGTCTATGTTGGAGAGCAGTAAAGTCAGGCTGAGCGAGGAAGGGGAGGCAGTAGAGACGTCCTACAAGAAACGGGTGGCGGTCCTGGAAGAAATTCACACCAAGCGCGAGAGCAGGTGAGTCTGTCGAAACGAGGTGTGTACTGAATACGTAGATCACTAAAATGATATTCGGTCATTTTTTTACGTTTGGTTTCACTTACTAGGTTACAGGAAGAGATATCGGAATTGACAAATCAGCAGTCGGCCAGGGTGACGAATCAGGAACAGGAACGTAAGGAGTTATTGGACGCTCAATTGTTAAAGCTGGAGATATGGGAGAAAAACAAACACGAGGAGATTGATCGACTAAAAAGTGCACATAGGTGTGTAGATACAATTCGAAATCCAATACGGATTCCGCCGCTATTTGTTTCATTTTGGTTGTTGTAACACTGTTAATAAATAACTGAAAAATAAATTTGAGTCTGTAGCACACAGAACTTAATAATTTACAAGGTAGTAGGAGCAATATCTATTATCTGGCATAATATCTATGATCAGCATTACCTTATGCTCGTCATACAGATTACATCTCTGTAAAAATGTCAAAACTCAATTATATCTTGTGTATCTATTATTTATCAAGTGTTACTCGACAATTTTTTATCTGAATGTTTGTGCCTAAATCATGTAAGCTGACATATGTAACTGCCGTTGTTGTGTTTTTACTGCACCGTTGATTATATATGCAATGTATCCCTAATACTTTGTTAACTGGTAATTGCAGACTGGCGCTGTCCGAGTTGAGAAAGGACCATGATGACCAACTGTTGAGGCTAAACAAAATCCGAGAGCAAGAGATTGAAGCAATTACCAGTGTTCAATCACACAGCAGGTATGACTATAGTGTCCATTCACACCGAATGTATAGATATAGTGTTCAGTCACACATGCACAGCAGGCATAACTATAGCATCTACCCCACACAGAAGGAATTGTTATTGTGTCCAATCACACTGCAGGTATGTCTATTGCATCCAACCACACATAAGCTATAGCTATAGTGTCCAGTCACAAAGTAGGTATAGCTATAGGTTCTACTCACACAGCAGGTATATCTACAATGTTCAGTCAAAAAACAGGTATAGCTATAGTGTCCAGTCACGTGGCGTGGACGTACCATCCGTCTGCAGTGGTGTAGCATCAGCAGCAAAGCAAATCTCTGTTTCTATTCGCCCCCAATTGCATGTATATTTAATAAATTACACGGCATTCACTTCTTTATGTATATAACAACAAAATTAACACCGTGTTTGCTTTCCCCCCAAAAAATTTATAAGAATGAATATTTATACATGTGTCATTTTTGTGTGAACTGTGTTCAATTACTACCCACATGTACATGCTTTCCTCATACGCAGGTCGCTACAGCATGTCCTGGATAAGATGGACGAGAATGCACAGAGCCTTGGCGATCTGCAAGTGAAAGTCGAATCTCAGCACAGCTCCCAACTGAATGACCGCGAGGCTGCCTTAAAGATACGGGACGAGCAACTAAAGCGTAAGCAGTCAAAGAAGAGCCTTGTGATTGTTTCTGGCAACCGCAATCTGTAGGTGATAGCAAGTGAGCATGGCATGACTGCTACGTGATGTTAGTGATGTATGTTAAGTTGCCAGATAGTAGTACTGATTGAGCAATTTACTATTCGTGTGGTTTATCTGTTCAACCATAGATCTACCAGTTATTCTACGACCGTGGACAATTTATGTATGAGATTTTGAATAGGCACTTAATGAATAGATGGATGGAGGGACGGGCAGACGGATGGATGGATAGATACATGTACATACATTGATTGGTCAGTTGATTTTTAGCTCACCTTGACATCGTCAAGATGAGCTATTGCCATGGGGTGTCGTCCGTCGTACGTCCGTCCGTCCGTCCGTCAAAATTTGGCTACGGTCCACGATAACTCAAGAACCGTTTGACCCACAAGTGTTTCAAATTGAATACAGTTGTTACTCCTATGGGAGATGTTTGAACGTCCTATTTTGGAGCACGCCAGTCGACCTACTTTCGAGCCACGTCCACTTTTTGGCAAAAATGGAAATGGCCATAAGTCAATTCAGCGTTCAACGGATTTTGCTCATTTCTAGTATGTGAATGAATAAGGACTGGCCCCCAAACATATCACACGGGTTTTTGATATTTTTTAAATTGTGCAAATTAGGTAGATTTGGCAATTTCACTATACATTTCAGTGTCTGCCTACGGTCAACGATAACTCAATACCGTTTGACCACATGTTTCAAATTGAATACAGATGTCACTCGTATGGGAGAGATTTGAACTTCCTATTTTGGAGCACGCCAGTCGATCCTACTTTCGAGCCACGCCCACTTTTTGACAAAAATGAAAATGGCCATCTAAATTCATTCGATTTTGTAAATTTTGGTATGTGAATGTGTAAGGCTAGCCCCAAAACAGTTGTTACTCCTATGGGAGAGATGACAACGTCCTATTACGTTTATTTCGTCTAACTGGTCAACAAACTCTACAATCATACCTATATACCGTGTAATATTGTGTTTTAGAATTCTTCTTACAGTAATTGGACTGGAATATTTTATTGTTTTTATTTGCGCGATATTCGAAAACCAAAGTGGCGATCATTTAGGCGTAGCACCATCTCTCGTCAGATTTCAGACTTTCAGATCTGAAACACATTTATTTCGCATCAAAAACCTATGCATATATCATTATCAAGAGTATATAATGGGAGATATGCTATAAAATGGGAGTATCCCATTCCTCCCTCCCTCTTCTATCACACCCAAGGTGAGCTACAGTGTCATTGACACTTTCCTTGTGTTTGGTTCAGTGCTTCAGGGGAGACTGGTACGGCAGCAGGATGATAATGAAGCAGAGAGGGGGCGCCTGCAGCAGCTTATTACCAGGCTGGAGGTTCAGCTGCAGGAGCAAGCCCAGCAACTGCAACAGGTATTTCCTCTTCTGCGCATTTCATCGACGGCCTTCCAGAGATCCCTATCACTTCGCTGCGTATGGCCTGTAACGACTGTGATTACTTGATATGTGATCATGATAATTGGATGCCACGTCATATCTGTGGGCTACATCTAGGGGGTGGGGCAGGTGTGGCTACATCTAGGTGGGTGGGGCAGATGGGCTCACATCTAGGGGTTGGGGCAGATGGGCTCACATCTAGGGGGGTGGGGCAGATGGGCTCACGTCTAGGGGGTGGGGCAGATGGGCTCACGTCTAGGGGGTGGGGCAGATAGGCTCACATCTAGGGGGTGGGGCAGATGGGCTCACGTCTAGGTGGGGGTTCATCCAAAGAGGTGGGCGGGGTCTCAATGTATAGATGGGGCCACATCCAGGGGGTGGGGCAAGTGGGGCCTCATCTAGGGGTCTAGGGAAGCCGTTCAGCTTCCCGCTCGGCTCTACGGTTTGGTAGGTGCGCCCGTGGCACCCGTTCCGTAGGGTAGTGACAGGTTGCGGGATAGCGCCCGCCGCATAGGTAGATAAAGGTGACTGATAAATAACACGAACTCAGAATGGAATACTACTCTCCGCTATTTCTATTGCACGACGAAATATACTCTTCACTACAGACATACGAAAACTAGACATACGGCTACACACGCTCACAGAGAGATCACCGAAGAACAATAAATGCCGTACCTTAGACTGTGCTTACTGCCGGCTGCTCTCGATGACGCTCGATCGGGTAAGAAACGGGCAGGCAGCAGATACGGGCGGGGGATAATTGCGGGTACGGCGAGAATCGAGAAGGTAGGCGGAGCGGCTTGGTGTGCGGATATCTCGGCAGACGGAGAAAACGGACGAGTGTGTCTAGGAAGGGTGGAGGAGCTTTGTGCAAACTGGACCGTGTGGCAGAAAGATGAGAGCCGAGTGTTCCTCTACCTCCGAGTTTTGCGTCAACAAATCCGGTCCGTTACTATAACGCAGGTGCATTTCCGCGCGATCACCAATATGCGTCTGTTGTGATTTATGGTGACGCGTCGTACATGCCGTGCCGCGAACTAATATAAACTATCCATATAACCTATCTGTGCAGCCGGCGCTTCCCTACACTTTCCCCGGGGTCCCAAGACGTTTGGAGCCGCACATTTGTGGCGACTAACGGTTGCGCCATCACGTGCGGAAGGCAGTGATGGTGCAACGTTGTCGTGGTGGCCCGGGGCGGGGAAACGCGCACGAAGATATATATATATATATATATATATTTACATTTATATATTAACGACAAATACGTGACTACATCGATGAAATACGCGAACGCGACGATACGTTAGTATATAATTACATTTACATTTACATTTACATTTGCATTTACACATGACATTTAGCTATTGCAGTTGAAATCGCTGGCCTCGGCCGAACCCTCGATCCCTCGGGTCCATCCACACGCCGTCCATCCTGACCCTCCACATTTCCCGGCCCCTGCCCCTGCCCCGTCCGGCAACCCGCACCAGTCGCCGGTCCCGACCGACGTTCTCCTACTCCCAGTGCCAGTCGTGGTGGAGTGGTTGGGCTGGCAGTTGGTCGTGCTGGTTGGGCTCGGGTGGTTGTGGGGCAGCTGGCAGGTCGTGGTCGACGTGGTCGACGGCGTGTGGGTCGACTGGCAGGTCCTCTCTCTCTCCGTGAGGGTCCTCGTCCTGCCAGTCGTCGTTGTGGTCGGGTGTCGGGGGCCGGCGCTTCCCTACAGGGGGTGGGGCAGGTGGGCCACATACAGGGGGTGGGGCAGGTGGGGTCACATCCAGGGGGTGGGGAAGGTGGGGCCAAATCCAGGGGTGGGCAGATGGGCTCACGTCTAGGGGGTGGGGCAGATGGGCTCACGTCTAGGGGGTGGGGCAGGTGGGGCCTCATCTAGGGGGTGGAGCAGTGGGGCCACATACAGGGGTGGGGCAGGTGGGGTCACATCCAGGGGGTGGGGCAGGTGGGTCCACATCCCGGGGGTGGGGCAGATGGGCTCACGTCTAGAGGGGTGGGGCAGAGTGGGGTCACATCAGGGGGTGGGGCAGGTGGGGCCACATCCAAGGGTGGGGCAGATGGGCTCACGTCTAGGGGGGGGGGCAGATGGGCTCACGTCTAAGGGAGTGGGGCAGATGGGCTCACGTCTAGGTGGGGATTCATCCAAAGAGTGGGCGGGGGTCTCATGGGTGGGGCAGGTGGGCCACATCCAGGGGGAGGGGCAGATGGGCTTCACGTCTAGGGGGTTGGGGCAGATGGGCTCATGTCTAGGGGGTGGGGCAGATAGGCTCACATCTAGGTGGGGATTCATCCAAAGAGGTGGGCGGGGGTCTCATGTATAGATGGGGCCACATCCAGGGGTGGGGCCTCATCCAGGGGGTGGGGCAGGTGAGGTCACATCCAGGGGGTGGAGCAGGTGGGGCCACATCCAGGGGGTGGGGCAGGTGGGGCCACATCCAGGGGGTGGGGAGGCAGGGCAACATCCAGAGGGTGGGGTAGGTGAGGCCATATCCAGGGGGTGGGGAGAGCAGTGGGGCCACATCCAGGGGGGGGGAGGCAGGGCCACATCCAGAGGGGTGGGGTAGGTGAGGCCATATCCAGGGGGTGGGGCAGGTGGGGTTACATCTAGGGGGTTGGGCAGGCGAGTGGGGAAGAGGTGTCTGCATCCAATTCTTGACCCACTGTGCCCTGGCTCTCGCCAACCCTACTAACTTTCAGAAAATAATGAGTGATAATTTAAGTGCAATTGCCTCCTGGCGACACCTAGTGCTGATTAAAGTAGTATGTATAAAGGATAGCACTTCAGTCACTATATCAACAGGGTATATGGAAAAAAGTTACACGCTGTCTGAAGTATTGTTCGTCGCACTGCAGAGCCGTGCGCTGCACTCTGCATTGTGAGAGTAAAATCTCGTGCAATACTATTACAGGAAAGATGGGATCTGACAAAAGAACAGAATCGGTTGAAGACCCTCCAGGTGGCTGTGGACAATGAGAGGAGTATGCTACATGATAGCATCAAGAAGGAGAGAGCTGATATACAAAAGTCAAAGGTATCTGTGGCTGTTGTTTCGTGTGACAATAAGCAGATAGTGGCACCACATAGAAAACGCGTGATTAGGTTTGAGTCGAAGATAAAACGTCGCCCGGAGTCGAGAACTCTCGTCGTGATCGGCTATCGCGATACAAAATTTTCGTCGCTATTCGAACAGAATAAGTCGAATACGGAGCCACCGTAATACGAACTATCGTAATACGAATGCTTCCTTGTACGAGACGCGACTGCATTATACGTTCATGTGCGCTGACGTCGACTTGTGTTCAAGCTGCTGCCATGTTTGTTTCAGGATGCGTTGTTAGAGGAACAGAAGACCATCCTCACGCAGCTGTATGACGAGCGGCGGTCTATGGCCAACGAGCGCACACAGTTGTCTTCCAGCCAGGGACTGTTACCTGGAGGCCAACATGAACTGGCCATCAAGTCTATAAAGGTATGAAGCATAGCTTTACAAACACTACTGTCCGCCACGGCAGGTAAATGCTTATTTGCGCAGGTGACACTCAGGTGTAACCTGCCAACTTGGTGTGTGGCTGACAAGGACAAGTCGAACAGTTTTTTTCTTCAAATTATCACGGTAAATTTGGAAGCATGTCTATATTATGCCATCAGAACGCCTTATAAGTCACGAAATGTGGTAGTTCGGAAGTTGGTGTTAGACAAACTTGTTGTAAAACACCAAACTTGTTGTCAAACACCAAACTTGTTGTCAAACACCAAACTTGTTGTCAAACACAAAACTTGTTGTCAAACACAAAACTTGTTGTCAAACACCAAACTTGTTGTCAAACACCAAACTTGTCGAACAACTGTTGTGAGTTGCCTCGTTTCTCCTATAGTCGCAGGCAGAGCATGAGGCTGTGCTGAGTGACATTGCGCGGCAAAAGCAAGAGCTGATCGCCAAAGCAGATGTTTTGGAACGGGAGACCGAAAGGCTGAACGACGAGAAGCGGCAAATTCAGCAACAGAAGCGACATCTGGAGGAAGAACAGAGGAAGCTCGAAAACCTCAGTGAAGGCATCAAAAAGCGTTCGGAAGAGATTGAAGAGCTCGGCCTGGTGTGTTCAGTGTTTCAGATTATAGTCATTGGGATTATAGATTATAAGCGTAGCTCATCTGAGGAGCTACTTAACTAGTAACCTAGTTGTGAATTTCGAAACGTGCAGTGCACTGTGGTACTTATTGCTACTAAATACGTTGCTTTAAGCATGTAAATAATTGCTACTTTGGTTTCTAAGTGTTTGCTTCACCAGCTTTCAAGTTTACATAAACCGTTTATGCATCCAAAAATAACATGGTGTTCACCCGGCAGGTTTAAACAAAAAGTTATAAACACAATTTTCCAAAGTACACATCTGTCTACATAGGCTATTAAGCACTAGTAGTTGTTTGCATACCAAAATCTATGACCTGTGACCTATTGTCAGACACAAAATTAGTCATAACATTAGACTTGACTTTACGATGTTTCTGACCCTGCCTGGAAAATGAAGATTACAGAACATGCAGTCAAAATGCATACCTGTCAACATTTGAAAATCTCTGTGGGTGTTTTTGTTGAAGATCTCATATTCATATTCATATTCATATTTATTGTGATATTCATTTTTTGAGTTGGTTACGCAATGAAGAAATTAGTGAGCAAGTTTATGATGCTTGATTGAATAGCCACATCATTAAAAAACGATATTGATTAAACTCTAATTAAAAGCTGACAGCACAGCTAGAGCTGTATGGGAGATGGCTATGATTGACAATTCTTCACTTTCACGTGATATTTTTTAGAAATCGATCATGTAAATAGCATTGGCGTGTTACAGTGCCTAGTCTCACGTGACACGTACCACATGCGTAACATCTGCCATGTTTCAAGTCGTAATATCCCTAAAAAGATTGCATTACAGTTTTTGTTTATAAAAGCCTGTTTTATGTGTAGCGATACAGTATGAAGCGCCTAATACGCGCACTCGCTGGTACTTTCACAGCATATTTATTGCAGCCCACGTAATATATTAGACGTTTAGAATCACGTTACACCTCATCGTGCATGCACGCTGTGTGCGTTTGAGTAAAGTAAACCTAGACTATCGCATCATAATCAGTTTATTGTCTCATACGGGGCGGTTTGATATTTTATGCACCGCAGATAGCACTGAGTCAGCGGGAGGAGGCCGAAGCTGCTAACTCGGCGGCAAGAAATGTGGAGGCAGAGCAGAGCAGTCTCTGGCCGATGATTCAGGCCCAGATGGAGGTTCTGCGAGGCAAGGAGAAGCATCTTGCTAAGGTGTGAACGCCTGTGCCAGGGCGTGCATGCGCCCGTGCGTGCGTGTTTATCAATACGTGCATGTGAATGTCTGTAGCTGAGAATCTAAGCTCTAAGCTATCTAATCTAAGCTATCTCTTTACGGCATAACATACAGTGGGTGGGTAGCAATGATGAATCGCTGTCAGAGTGTTAAAAGACAATACAGATCCTCGTGACGTACAGAATGGGCGGAAAACTAATCGCTAATAATTTCATTGTGGCAGGAAAAGCTTGATGTCATCAGGCAGCAGCAAGAGTTGGAGCGGCGGAAAGGTGACATGTTAGTTTGCTCCAGCTGTAGGGTCCCCATACGCGATCGACTACTTACGAGTACAGGCAAGTTGAAGCCAGACTAAGAAGAATACATGCGTCCTGATTTTCCTCTTACCAGAAATCTGTCTGATATCAATTTTAATAGCAAACAAAAAGCAAAACCAAGAGTGAATATGTTTAGAGAAACATACTGATGCAGCTGTTAGTAATCTATGCAGAAACTCGTACTTCATAGAAAAACTAGCACAATTTTTTTATTTTCAATGTTGTTGTTTGCGTGCTGCCATAATATTGCCTAAAGAATTCTGTCGTATTGCTTTGTCATCTGTGTTAAATGAACTCTTCACTGAATTTATATATATTATCACACAGCAGTTGATGCAGCCGTATCTGATGCACCAAAACCTGCACGGAATCCATTTGACATGGATAGTATCACCGCCTGGAAATTAAACTCGGATAAGGTAGACAATAATTACTTTCCTCTTTTATACGTAACCTGATATCATTTATTCTTCAACAAGTGAAATGTTAAAAGTAATGGAAATCGGTTTCTAAAAATTTCCAATGGTACTAGACTCGACTGGTTTTGAGTTTATCTACATGGACAAATGTGATGCTCTGAATAATTCTGCAATGCAGGGCATACATATAGGATACAATTTTCTTTTTAATTTCAGGATAAGGATTTCTTGGAACAGGAAATGCTCTTTCTGGAGGCGCTACAGTATTCCACTTACCATAACCCATCCCAGGCTAGCTGACAACCATTTTTTGGAGATTATTAGAGTTAGAGTTTATTGTAGGATGTTGAGTGCTCTATCACACTTTCAGTACAGTAAACAGTGTCATAAAAAGACGTTTTCATCGCAACACCCGATATGTTAATCAGAATTAGCGATTTATTATAATTTAATTGAGTGTCAATACATGATACATTGAAAGTGTAATGAGGCACATGGCGCACAGACACTGCATCATATCATCATCATCATCATCATCATCATCATCATCATCATCATCATCATCATCATCATCATCAGTACATCTGTTCCTGCTAGCATGCATTGTCCATGAATCATCCAGCCCTGTTGAGACTAGTCAGTGTTGCTACTATGCATCATTTCTAATTTCTTATCTTAAATAATCTGCACACTTCAAATCTAACGTTCAATAAAAATATAACTATATTTTTTCAATACTCCTGACGGGTATGCTCTCTCTTTCTCTTTCTCTTTCTTGCAACTTGAGAACGAAATGTGATATATGATCAAGAGCGTATTGAGTATGCTTAATTATTACTTAATACGCTCCTGATATGATGGATAACAAGATGTACAGGAAGACAGTTCGAAGGCTATATCGTATTAAATACCATCGTATAGTAATATATTACATGTTTTAGCATAGGATTGCAAGTATGAGATATCAAATCCTGTGTAACTGGCTCACATATATAACTGAATAAAAACATCTAGTCCAAATGCTAGAAAATGGTTTTATGCATGCTAAAGACTAGACTAGCAATTTAAATACATGTGCCCTCTGTGTGGATACGAAATTATGAGAACACGTGCATAAGATACATGTAGATACAAGGGGGCGTGTTGGTACGCACGCTTGACAGGATGTAAAAACCGACTTATGAATGTAAGCCTTCCGGGGCCAAACAACTATACATACAGACGGAATCATTTCACAATGCATATTACAAGCACAATCAAACCTGCACTCCACCCTATATATATGAACACACGTACTATGCGCAAGTTTTGAGAGACTGACGTACACACTATGACAAACCTCTTACACCATCATTCTATATCAACGCAGTGGTTTACGGCGAAAATAACCTCGTACATAAATTAAATTAAACTTATTACACTTGCACTGTAGTATCCTGTACAGCAATATAACATGTGCACGCCTCTTTCTTATATATGGACAGTATCGCATAACATCAAGAATTTCTACTACATTACACAATCAGGAATAGATTTACTCCTGATAAAAGCATTACAACCTAGCAAAAGTCACATAAGTATGCATTGTATACAGGGTCCTGTAATTATGATGCATCGTAATTTAACGTTTATATCGTAATATCGTATAACGTTATGCTTTGCACATGGTTGGTGGATGATAGATACACTCATTTAGTTTAAATCCCTGTAAAGGTATACTGATGATGCTGTCACGGCCAACTATTTATATGAAAATATTTCTGAAGCCGTTTCTATCCATTTGTGAACTTGACAGTATCATTGTTACACCGTCTCACAAATCTCCAACGTATGCTACGATATACAAACATGATGTTGCACCACCATCGCTCCATTTTATGCAACTGAATTACCAACAAAGTTGAAATATTTAAACCAAAACGTGTCCATTTGGAATTTAATACAGGCATGATATTTAACCCCCGGATTAAATCGGTTTTCTCACTATTCCCCCAACCAGTTCACCCACTGTATCGATGTGAATTCAAAATCAAAATTTGGGCTAGGAGTAGAGTTAGATATGTGGGTTGAAGTATTCTGCACGTGAATTATCTCTGCTGTATCTATCTATACATGTTATAATAATATAATAATGACAATATATTATATCAGGAGCAAAGAAATAATAAATATATTCCCTATTATCTTACTTCTGATTATATATATGTATATATATCAAGAGTACATAATAGAGATATAGATAGAATATATCAAGAGCTAATAATACCTTTTTAATAAAGGTAATATTAAAAAAGGTTACAATTTAACCTTAATAAACCTTAATAAAGGTATTATTAGCTCTTAAATATATATATATATGTAAGACACAGTTAGTCGTGTGTAATGGTAACAATTGCCATATTGCCTAATTTCATTACTAATGTAAACTTTATGTAATTTTCACAATTTAATCTGGGTAAGTACAACATTCGCATTGTGTTGTGGAGCAGCATTTGAATAGCATCCAAGTACAGTTATTAGGCAATATATAGAGTACATAACCATTAACACTTTGGCATTAAATTCGTATATATATTTACGATCATTGTGTTATTGGAATGGCCCAAGTGCCTGAGGGCATGCACTAACTTGTACAACTATTTAGGGAATATTTTAATATAAAGCATACTAATGCTCATAGGGTCTATGTCCCCCAGGGTACTGCCGGAACGTACCCTGGGTACGGTCCGGTATACCGGAACGTACCCTGGTAACTATCTAGCTGATATGGTTAAGGTTAGGGTTAGGGAGTAGGCGTAGGCGACTCCTTAGACTCGTTAGTGGAGTAGGCGAGGTACGGTCCGGCATATTTGATAGTAGTATTTAGTACCAGGGTACGTTCCGGCAGTACCCTGGGGGACATAGACCCTCTCAGCCATACTTATGCCTTGTATTTATCAAGTAATGTACGTACCAAATAGTATAACGTATTATTCATTTACCTTTTACCGCAAAATGTATTTGGAATGCACAGGCAGATAGTTGCTAGCAACCCAATTTCTCAATCCGAAAACATGTTTTTCCGTTTTAGCTGTTCTCTCTCTCTCTCACACACGCACGCACGCACGCACGCACGCACACACACACACACACACACACACACCACACACACGCTCTCTCTCTCTCTCTCTCTCTCTCTCGCTCTCTCGCTCTCTCATTGACTTTCAATATACAATTGCACATTTATTCATATCGAAAGGTTTTCAGGTAAAAGAAATCACAGTGCTATGATATGCAATGTAAATCGTTTTAAGTATCTGCATTGGGTGCTGTAGAGATAATAGAACCACAAGTTACCATAGAAGGTACCTGACAGACAGGAGCATCAAAGAGGTCTGTTTGCAGGGACACACATTCAGCAAATGCTGATCGTGTTAATGGTGTTTTCTAACTGTGCAACTGTCTGCCCAGTGGCACAGATAAAAAACTGGTTCAACAAATTTGTTGAGATCCAGGAGCGATCGAACCCTACTTTTCCTCCCCACCCACACAGAGATCCGTGCTTATTTTGCTCTTTTTCAAGGTAAAATATCATGCCTGCTATTATGAAAACCTTCCAACATGCATCTAAGTTTGCCTAATGCCTTCATAATCATTTAACAATTTTGCCACCAAAGCATAACTAAGTAAGGTGTTGACATTCGAAAACAACAACGCCACAATTAAACGCCAAATGTGGGCCTACATACCTTACACAGAATTTTGGTCTGATGCAGTGGCGACCGAATCAGGGGTGAAGTATGTCATTACGGAGGTTCTTACATACTGTGGGGCTAGTGAGATCGTGTACTACAAAAAACTATAAGCGAGTCATAGCCTTGAGTGTGCGGAAGTAAAAAAGGGAAATCTGGGCGCCCAGAACCCAACACGCTACTCGCTCATCATAGTCATTAATCCTTTAGTGGAAGCGGATTGTGAGAAATTACCTCAATGAACAATAAAAACGGCTAATGGACTTTTAGTTTAATGAGGTATTATTTTCTGCTTCCATTAACTCTAATTTATTCATCTATCTGACCTTTTTTCATGAGTCGATGTCACGCAATTCATCTTTTTTGCTGTTCAATGAAATTCGGGCCAGTTATTCAGACAATGTACAGCCAATCGCTTGCCACATTTCCAGCTGTGATGTTGGAGCTATACAAAATTAAATGGATTTAACCATATGTTGGCTGGATGACACTTGATCCTCCCTACACGCCATATTAGATAAATAGTGCTGAAGCTCACACCTTGCCATAACATTTGTGTGTAAATAGAAGTCTAGGTGTGACGCCCGGGTTTCTCTTACTTCTTCTCTTCATAAGAACAATAAAAGATTTATTGATTTTAGTACCCTGATATATCACTCATTATACACTTAAATATAAGGAATCATGCCCCGAGGATTACCTTAAAAGAGTTGCGACGATAGGTTTAAATGCTTTAGTTTAAGTTTAAAGTCTTTAAGATAGTGGCTGTTTGGCATTATCCATCATGGCGTTATAGTGCAGTATTATTCAAATAAAGTTAAATAAGGGTCACATCAGATGCAGGTTCGATGCTACCGGCTACATTGTACATGTACACAACACTCCACTAGCCTGTCTAATTGCAAAAGAACTTCTAGCTTCACGACGAGTGCGTTGTAAGCCGCAAATATAACACTTCTAGCGAACCACGAATCTTTTGACTGGCTTCCTAGTCTTGGGATTTACACATCATACTACTGTGCATCGTCGTTAGTCGGGCAAAAGGACAATTTCCTGGAATCGATCTAGCATGCCTACGCGAACGAGCTCGCGCGTCTGCATTCTCAGCGTCCCTGACCCTCGATGCAACCCTCGACTTGTCGCCGACGCTCGGATTGATACTCACGCCACCTGGTGGTGGTGGGATGTTGCCGCTACGGCTTTCCCTCCGTCTCCGCGTCCCCGACCCTCAACTCGACCCAAGGTCGCGCAGCCGCCGCCGACGCTCGCACGGATACTCACGCCACCTGGAGGTGGGGGCGAAGCCGCCGCTACGGCTTTCCCTCCTGCTCCGCGTCGCTGCCCTTCCTGCCCTCGACCTTCCTTGCGAAGAGGCGCGCCTGGTCGACGGTGTCGAGCAGGTGCTTGGCGTTGATGGCGACGATGTGCGCCGACGACAGCATGCCCTTGCGGTACTCGGCGTCAAACGTCGTCGCGCTGTACTTCTGCGCGAGCTGCATTGCGCCGACAACGTCGGCCATGTCCGAGCTGAGCACCTTGTGCGCCATCTCGACGTCGCGGTGGCGGCAGCGTGGCAGCCGCGGCATTGCCTCGTCGACGCGCACGAGGAGCGCGCGCAGTGCGACGCCGACGTCCCGCACGAGCGCGACGTAGCGCGCGACGTCGCCGCACGACACGCCGCGCGACAGCTCCATCACCGCCTTCACGACGGCCGTCGTCTGCTCGAAGACGCGGTCGTCCGTCCGGTCGACGTCGCTCGTCGGCGCCGGGTCGACGCGACCGATGTAGGTCAGCGCCGCGCAGCCGCCGCCGGCGCCCTGCATCTGCTGCGCGACGACGGCCGGCGGCGTGCGCGGGGTCGGCGGCGGCGACGACGCGTCGCTGCCGGCGTCGCTCGACGCGCGCCGCAGCGGCTTCAGGTTCTCCTCCTCCTCGGCGAGCCAGCGCGAGTCCTCCTCCGCCTGCTTCTGCTGCTTCAGCAGCTTCAGCTCGAGCGTGTGCGGCTTCCCACGCTGCTCCTTCCCCGCCGTCGACTCCCCCCCCGCCTTGTGCGGCGCGTGCCCCCGCCGGCCGCCGGCCACCTGGTAGTGGCTCTCGTCGGCGCTGCCGCCGTCGTCCATGATCTCGGCGAGCTGCTCGGGCGTCTGCGCGACGAGGTAGGCCGCTGACGGCGCCGACCACGCAAGCGGCGCGAGCAACCCCGGCACGCGCGAGGGCTTCGGTGGCGGCTCCTCGGCCCCGCCGCCGCCCGGCTGCCCGCCGGCGACGCGGCAGTTCTCGAGCGCCATCAGCTCCTCCCGCTGCTGCCGCTCCTCGACGAGCACCTCGCTGAGCGCCGTCTTCACGTCCTGGAAGCTGAGCCTCTTCGACGGCTCGTACGCCCAGCAGCTGGCCATCAGCTGGTAGAGGCGCGGCGGGCAGCCGGGCGGCAGCGGCAGCCTCTCGCCGTTCTCGATGCGCCCGATCACGTCGTTGTTCTTGACGCCCTGGAACGGCTTCACGCCGAGCATCATCACCTCCCACATGCAGACGCCGAACATCCACACGTCGCTCGCCGTCGTGAAGCGCCGAAAGTTGATCGACTCCGGCGCCATCCACTTGATCGGCAGCTTGCCCTTCGACGCCTTGTAGTACGACTGGTCCTCGACCCAGCGCGACAGCCCGAAGTCGCCGAGCTTCACGCAGTCCTGCGACGAGACGAGCACGTTGCGCGCGGCGATGTCGCGGTGCACGAACTTCTTGCTCTCGAGGTAGGAGAGGGCCGTACTGAGCTGGTACGCGTACATGATGAGTGTGGTCAGGTCGAGCCGGTGCTTGTTGCTCTGCAGGTACGCGCGCATCTCGCCGTGCCGCGCGAGCTCCATGACGATCATCACGGGCGCGTCCGTGCAGACGCCGACCAGCTTGACGATGTGCGGATGGTCGAACTGCTTCATGATGTACGCCTCCTCGAGAAACTTCTCCGTCTCGCCGAACGCGTCGCGGTCATCGTCGTCGGCGTCCATCGCCGCCGCCGTCGCCGCCGCCGTCTTGCACGTCTTGATGGCGACGTCGACTCTGTGGCCGTCGCGCGTCGCGTACACGCCGCGGTGCACGTCGCCGAACTGGCCCTCGCCAATGATCTCGGTGAGCGAGATGCGCTCGCGCGGCAGCTCCCAGTCGCCATCGCCGCCGTCCTGGATCTCGGCGTAGTCCGACTCGGCGATGGAGACGATCGACACCTGCTTGTCAGGCGTCGGGCTCTTCGAGCGCGCCGCCTCGCCCGCACGGCCCTTCTCCTGCCGCACCTCGACGACGACCTCCTCCTCCTCCTCCTCCTCTACCGGCTCCTCCTCCGCCGGCTCCTCATGGTTCGCGGCGGCGGCGGCATGTTCGTCGGGGCAAGGCGGGGGTGTCGTTCCGGCATTCACCCACCGGGAGGCGCGCGTGTTGTGGATGAGGCGGCAGTAGCCGTCGACAAGGTCGGCGACGTCCTCGGCAACCGAGTGCGACGTGCAGGTGAACGACAGCGTCTCGGCCGCGCCCTCTATCGCGAGCCGCACCGCCGACGTGTCGCAGTTCTTCGCGGCCTCGACCGATATCCGCTCCACCTGGTGGAAGTTCGCGAGCAGCTGCGGCGTCGTTCCCTCGCCCGCCGCGTAGCTTATCTCCTCGGCGGGGCCGATGATGAGTTCGCCGGGGATCTTCCAGCTCGAGCCGAGTGCGCATTTGAACTTCTCCTGGTCGAACCTGCACACGTTCGCGAGCACCTCGAAGAATTTGAACACGCACTCTCCTTCGGACAGTGCGGCGTATCGCCGGAAGTGGCCGTGTATCTCTTTCCTGAGCACTTTCGTCTTCATTCCGTTCACGATGAACAGCGGGAAGAACTTGTCGAGTCCGATCTCCTTCTCTAGATATTCGAAGTTGGCCTTCTTGTCGAGCGCGATGCCGGGCATGTCTCTAAAGAAGCGACGAATCTCGAGGCTTCCCAGTCGCAGAGCGACTTCCTGGTCGACGGTTTCCGCCAGTCGCCGCATGTAATCGTTTCGCACTTGGTCGTAGAAGTAGTAAAACGTGACCCTGTCTCGTTCGTAGAGTTCGGCGAGACTCTTCGGAAGATAGCGCACGCGCAACTCGTGCCGCCACTGGTCGGCGTCCTCACCGGCGAGATATCTCTGCTGCATTTCCGTCATCGTCATATCCGGATGCAGCCATTTTGTTTCATCGCTTTTCTTGTGAGCGAGTCTCATGCCATACGCTGGTTTGAACGCTCTCTTGCCGGCCGCCAGGCGATCAACCATCAGGTGGGTGATTCCACGAACGTCAGCATTTTCACCGTGCTGGATCAGATTCGAACTGCCATTCGGAAGGAAGACCTTCACTCGGCACGTGAAGGCCTCCTTGCCATTACTTGCACTCATATTGAAAGTCAGCTGCCTCACAACCAGTTATACATAACCAGCGAGACAAAACCTACACATAAACAAATACAACCAACGTGAGTGCCACTCCTACTCCTAGTTCTTGTGACTACAATATTGTGTTGTAATAATCTTATTCGTACTATAATTAGCAGGTGACGCTGATTAAATACACATCGAATGCTGCTAAGTAAAGAAATCGTATCCTAAAACTTTTTTTTTATAATCTGACGCCTAAAGGCTAAATTGACGTTAGATTTTTAACTTAGAACATAGAAATCATTGGGGCACAAAATATTGCTTATTAATGACGCGATGCACAAGGGACAGGTGAGAATATATGCCTATTGTGTACGCTGTAGTCCTCGCGCGGCGAGAACAAATAGTCCATAATGAGGCTATAACACAGTACTGATTTGTAACTTAATAAAACTTACACCTTGTTGTTTAAGACTATTCATATATTACTCATCCAAAATCCGTTCCATTTTCGTAGCTTATCACATTGCAGTTTCTACATGTGTCATCCCGCATTATTGCTAACAACGATTGTGAATGGCACGTCGATTTATTATAAATAATACTAGTATTAAACAATAACTGCTTATAATTAATTGTGAATGACAGACATAACTATGGAGCAAATTAAATATTAACTAATATGTTGTCAACAAGAATTGTTTCGTACAAAAAATTAACAATTTTGCTTGTAGTGCGGTCCTTACCTTGATCAGGTTGAGGTGGGATTCGCCAGTAGATGGCGTCTGTAGGCAGGAGCCATAGCAGAAGCAGACAATTGTGTTCCCAAACTTGTAGAACAGAAATATTTGAAGACACGGTCTAACTAGCATATTATTTATATGAACAGACCACTGAGCTGTATATAATAACAATATTGATCATTATGTTATTAACAATAATTATTATATACAGCTCAGTAAGCAGACTAAAGCATGCACGTGAAGAAGCCATACACAAAAATAAAAATAATAAGAAAGTTTCTGTGCACGTGCAACATAGATTTTACACAATGTGATATGCTCAACGCCGATAGATTCAAAGTATAATCTACACGAAACCTTAGCACTAAAAGTCTGTGAAACATGCCTATAAAGGACTATTGGTTTTTTTTGAGTCACCCTTATAGGGTTGACTGTAATAAATTTGTAAAATGAGATGTAATCAATTCAAGGCTCTGCATTATATCAAGTCGTTTACTATTTGTTTCTTACTATGAATATTGTGAATGCGATTAAATTTATTTGTGGAAATCGCCTAGAATTGATTTCCATAGAGGAACGATGTTACGTGGTATATTTACAGCGTTGGGATATTATTTGCTTTGAAACAGAAGACTGGGTTCAAACCGTCCGTCCATCCATCCAACCATTTATCCATCCATCCATTTGTCCGTCCGTCCGTCCAGCCACCCATCCATTGTTCGTCCGTCCATCCATCTAACCATCCATCTATCCATCCATCCATCCATCTATCGTGGACTAGGATATTAAATGACGATTACGCATTCTAAACACATATACATGTGTATATATATACATATACACATATACATATCCTTTCGCATCTATATTTTTTCAACAATTTTCAAACAGCATTTCATTAACTCGGTAGCCCTACTGGTTTCAAATCTCACATGTGAAGTATCTAAGCAATGGAGTGTAAATGTAACACCCATATTCTTATCAGAAAGACGCTCACATTAAAATATAGGATATGATATATGTATATGGAGATTGTGTGTGTGCGTGCGCGCGTGTGTGCGTGTGTGTGCGTGCGCGCGCGTGTGCGTGTGTGTGTGTGTGCGTGCGGGTGTGCGTGTGTGTGTGTGTGCGTGCGCGTGTGTGTGTTTGCGTGCGTGCGTGCGTGCGTGCGTGCGTGTGTGTGTTGAAATGTTGAAAATGTTGAAATAGATGAGAGATATGGAGTGCTATATTGTGAAAGATCTGCATAGCCTCAGCTCTTTATTTCAATAATTTGTGAGAGCTCATCTAGCACACAAATCTTACGGTTATTGAACGCGAACAAAAACATAAACCAGCTACTTCCAATGGTAAACTTGTATATTGCACCTTTCACATATTGTGGGTTTTGCCAATGTTGACTACACTCATCCAGTGTTTGTATTTATTTCACATGAGTATAATCACTGTGGTAATCACACAGACTGAAAATGACCGGCGCCACGTGACCAATGCGGACCGAATACATGCTTAGTGGATCTACGGCTATGCAAGGAATTCTAATATTATGCCATATAGCTTTGCACCCAACCCAAAGTGTTGATTCCTTAAAGCGATAGATGGTCCTACAGAACATGCTTGTGTATACGTATTTACGAGACCTATACCTTAATCTTGAACGCATTTTAATGTAATATTTTATTTTAAATTACCATTCACATTTAGATTCACATCCATAATAAGATAATCATAATTTGTAAATTCGGGTTAAACGTAAACACATCTATTTCACCATTGATGATAGAATAGAGCTCTAACCCAGATCGGCAGGTACCTAGGGGGAAAATATCATAATGCAGATACCTGAGAGGTAACGATGTTGGGTGGCCAGCATGGACGTCTGATTATATAAACCAGTACAATCTCGAATACGCGGGATATGTATTCATTCTAGTATAATTGTTTAGAGCGCATTTTCGACCTCTATGCACGTGTCTGACGATCTTATCGTTTTATAGAACAAGACCTATCACTACTACGGTAATATACACAGAAACGGTTAAACGTTGCAGAACATTGGCCTCACTACAGATCTAATTAAATGTCATGAAACGTGTTATGGCGAGAAAGATGTTACAACATAATATAGTTATCACATAATGCATATGAAATACACGAAAACTCGGGACGTTGACAATATTCACGTTATAAAATATCCATAGAAAACTACGAAGGAATTTCGTGAATCAAGTGTGATTAACCTATGATCATCCGAGAACACGGGATACAGTTAAGGTTTGAAGCTCTGCAAGGCAGAACAAGTGGCATTCGATGGCGGACAACTCCATAGACATATATACGTATACGCGCAGCTATATTTTGATAACGACGTGGCGTGAAAAAACCTCCAATTATAGTGTATACGTATAGATACATAGCATATACATTAGGGCACACCAGAACTAAAGCAAAGGTGAGGCCCAGTAGGCATAAAATAAATAAGTAACGGTCACACTGCAGTGAAACTGACTTGGATTCACATTTATAATAAAAAAACAAGAAAATTACAACAGAATCAAACAAGCCTAATCATAATTCAAGCCGATTATACCGGTGACAATATATTATGTTTTGATTATTGCTGGGTTTATGCTGATTTCGGGTTAGTCTATTTCATACGTTTGAACGAGTACAACACTGTCTCTATATGTACAAAAATGTTGAGTTATTTGTTGGTTACTCACACTATTACGGCAATACACACACATACAAATGAAATGCTGAAGAGAGCTACATCCACATTCTTATACGAATCGTAGCACGTGTTATTATGTCATGGCTTCGCGACCTGTTTCCCGGCCTCCGGCTTCTGTCGTCCTCTGAGAGTAGGGAGGTGGTCGTACATATAGCACATGTGGTCCCTGCTTATGTGTGGCTCGTCTGAATCACAGTATTGTACACTTGCTCTTCTCGGCCCACGGGTTCTGCTTCTTGTCGACGGGATGAAGAAGCGGGTCGTTGGGCTCATGCTCCTGAACAAACGCCTTCAAGCTGCAAGCGGAAACACACCGTACGTGGCATAAATGTAAACTACATGTGAGAACCACTGAGTTAGTATACTGAGATCAGTGGTGAGAACGAGAGGGCCCTTTCATTATTCCGCACTCGTGTTTATTCAAATTATATATGGAATTCATGAAGAGTTAATAATATAGAGCTAAATGTGTTATTAGATTTTGAATTTATGTGTAAAGTAATTAATAATTGTCGACGGGATGAAGAATCGAGTCGTTGGGCTCATGCTCCTGAACAAACGCCCTCAAGCTGCAAGCGGAAACACACCGTACGTGTGTAGGTGTGTGTGTGTATGTGCATGTGTGTGTGTGTATGTGTGTGTGTGTGTGTGTGTGTGTGTGTGTGTGTGTGTGTGACGTGTATGTCATGTGCTGTGTTAGCAAGCCACCTGCTGCGTTGGCAAGTACCTTTCACATTTTTCGTACTGTCGTTACAAACAGCAGTTAGTTACTTAGTGTAACGTCAACAGATCTGAAGAAGTCAGATTGAGTTGTCGTGTGCGCAAATTGCATTTGCACCCGTTTTCTCACGTGATAGCTTCTCTTCGCATGCCCATATCACTGAAGCTGTATAAGGTTTGCTCGTGGTTATTGCAATCTTCTGCGTTATTTATATAATATATACGTCTAAAGCGCCGCTTTAATATCCCAGCTTCCATTAAAAAGCAATTTCGACAATCTTGAATGGTCATTTTGGGCAGACTGTGTTCCTACACGCAGGAATATTATGAAAACATGAATGAAAGAAAGCATTGGCATGCACGCAATAATAATTTTTTAACCCTCAACTTCCATTGCTAGAACAAATAGTTTATTTATTTATTTAATTGTTATGAAAATCCTCCATAAAGCGTTGTCATAAACGCTATATAAAATTTTGAAACTTGTACATGGATCTGAATTTTACCGGGATCAATACGAGCAGATCGATGTATGTTGCGCGTGCATGCATGCGTCCCTGTACAAATCTACAGATATATATATCCGTCCAGACTAATAAGCATGCTCGGTATATGTTTACCATTCACGGCTATAGGTGTGAAAGTTTCGCATAGTAAATAACATTGCATTGAGTTTCACTGTACAAACAGACGCAGAGCCCCCTCTCAGATTAAAATAAATGTTGACGAAACCTACTTGACCCAATTGCTGCACGAGAGCCAAGTGCTACTAAACGATAAGCGTGCGATGCGATCAGCGTGTTCGATCAGTGCTTGGCGCGGGAGCGCGCGGGGGGGGGGGTACATTGGGGAAGTAAATAAATATCAGTTGGTAATTTTACATATGAGCTCGAGCAAAACATGTGATAACGTAGCTCAGAGCTACCGCGGCATATCAGGTTAGAATACAGACGTGTTCTTTCTCGGAAATCAATTTCCTTTGGCTTTATCTTAGCGACTCGATGACGACCGACGTCCATGCAGCAACTTTCCCCCACGGGCTCGATGCTCGAGGCGTTTACGCACGATGCGACGGGAAAACGTTTACTATTCGGACGCAGGAGTGAACCATCTTAAGTTTAGTACGTAGTGCAACTACGTTAGTAGTTTAGTAAGTAAGTAACTAACTTAGTAAGTAACGTTAAGTATCTTTAGTCAAGTAGGCCTACGTATATGGGAACCGGGAAATACCAGATAAATTTTTTGATGAATTATGAATAGAAGCCAACCGTGAGGATTTCATTTAACTGCGGACTAGGAAGCGGCATATTATATACTTTGACACTGGGAACGCGGGTTTTCTGTCC